AAAAAAAAAAAAACTCAGGCATAAATCGTAAATACCAATTTAATGAGATAAAAAACAATATACATATAATTATATATGCATATATATATGTATAATGATTATAGAAAAAAAAAATCAAAAATCAAAAATCAAGGCGAATTGAAAAAAATAAAATTCAAATCCCCGTGAACTCAAGGACTAATTATATAGTATATTAAATTTATCCACTTGAATATACAATGACGTGCAATTGATGCTATAGTTGTAATCTTTATTGCAAAATATATATAGCTACATTTTTCATGTGGAGAGTTGAATGGTTGCTATGTCTTGGAGTCAGTGTTTTGCTTCCATACTACGTAAAGTAAGAAGAAAAATTTCGGCTTCTTTTGTGTGATCCCAAAGGTTAAAACAAATACTACTAGCTCTTTTTTATATTATTATTATTATTAATAATTTTTATATTTTTTTTTTTTGCAGAAAAATTATTTTTTCTTAAAAAAATTTAAATTATTAACACGCCGTGTTTTTAATAGGAAGCATATTCAAACTGTGGAAACGAATCTACAAGGCTAATTGACTCGATGACTCGATAGTTGAATTCGTACTCCAAAGCCTGTTAATATGAGTTATTACCTGGGCCTAAAAATATTGGGCTAACCTAATATTTAGTACAATCTATATTCTCTTTACATTAATTGTTGATTGGTATGTAGTGTACTCATAGGTCTTCCATATACGGGACCATGCTTTGCTATAAAGTATAGAAAAAAGAAAGAAAAAAATTGCCAGTGGAATGGGCCCAAAAGTATCAATCCCGTATCATTTTAAATACAATGGGCTTTGAATATGTTCTCTCTGCGAAAGGGTACGGTTGATTTCGAATAGCCCAATAGTCGTGGGCCCTTAATAACTTTGATTTGGATGTTAATAGTATTAATGGGCCCCAAATTATGCAGACCAGTTAAATAATATAATTGATCCTCGCATTGGTGTTATTTTGCTAAGTAAGATATCAAATGAACAGGTTAGCGAAATTCAATCCTACCAATGGACATTATTCTCATGGGTTTTAGCAGCCAGATTACGAATCATCACAGTCATATTGATGTGTTTTGATAGTCAGTTAAACCCCATATTGATCGATATAACACTCAAAATAGCTCGGTAGACCAGCCTAAGTGGTTAGCTCGAATATAGTCAGTCCAAGGGAGCTTCATCTAGGTGTCGACACTTGACCTCGTTAGAGAGTTCGTTTCGGCAGCTCGAGGTACGGGTCAACCTGACTAAAGGGTTAAAGGGTCGAGCTGCTCCTAGAGCTCGAATAGACTGGGGAGTATTGCGACCTTGAGGTGGTGTGGTAAAGGTCGCGGTTTCCACTTGACAAGCATCCACGATAGTCGGGTCGTGAGGTCGCTAGGACGATCTAAGGACCTGGAAGTCGTATGGTAAGAGGAAACAAAATTCCACTGAGGATCGAAAGTATATCTCACAAAGGAATCTAAGATCTTAAAGACGTTTAAGTTAGAAAAAAGAGATACGGGTATATATATCTCTTTCCTGGACTCTACTTAAGCAAGAAGACACCCCGAGTATATAAGGGGTTACTAAGTTCCATTTTGCAACGGCACCTATATATTTGATTTGAGTTTGATTTGGGGAGGTAATGACGAGAACATGCATACACAATTATAGAGACAAATGATGCAACCTTTAAATAAAAAGTTTCAGTTAAATTTAGATTTTTAGTATCATATTTATATTTTATTATCATCAAATAAAATAGATAAGAAGGAAAACACAAAAATCAAACTTGAATATGAGAGATTGATCCAATGTGTGAATCAGTCTTCTCTTTGCCCTTTTTCTTTTAGTAAACTCACCTCAATATGTAGTTAACATATTTCGACATTTGGTTAATTCATTGTCATCGAACTCATCCGCGACAAATATTGCACGAAGTCAGCTTTGAATAACGTCCTTTTCTGTCAAGTAAGGTCAATATAAGGAGGAGAAAAACGAAGAAAGTGGCATTGTTGTCACAAGTTACAACACATTTATCGACACTACGTCTTCTTCCGCGGGCTGCATCTTAATTTCTCTGCCTCGAGTTCTTGTTTCAATGACTCGACCCGCTCGAGCAGATCCATGTGTTCCTGAGGAACACAAGGCACCTTAGTGAATTTAAACTTGTTCCCCATTTGGACTTGTGCAAAAAAGCAAAGAACTATGTCGGAAAGAGTTATGCAATGAAGTTCAAGAAAAAAGGGCAAAGCAAAGCCACCTTTTGTAACATCTCCATGTTCCGGTTCACGATCGTCTGTTCTGTTCCACCATGACGGGACTTCTTCATCTGTGCGAAAACTCGATTAGCTTGCCTTTTCGTCATATACTACTAACCATAACTTCTCAAAAAAGCTCAAAAGTCAAGAAGCAATCTCTGCATCGAGATCAATTTCATCATAGAACTTTCGCAGTAAACTATTCTCTCGAGTCGATTCGTAATCAAAATTTCAGCAAGCAAATGAGAAGAACAATTCAAGTTTACTCGAACAAAACTAGCAGATGCATCAAAAACAATAGAGTACCTCATCCAGTTCACTTAAGCACTTGGACGCCTTATCAAACTCAAAATCGAATCTCCTTCTCCACTCAGCCGATTCATCCATGGCTTCTCTGTTAGCCAGATCAAACTGCTTCCTACAAGTATTATTATACTCAAAATTCAAACACGCAATCGCCGGCTAAACACACACACACCACGCTACAGTAACTTTCGAATTCCGATCATTTACAGAAACACGGAATGACCAAAAGAAATGTAATCGAGCACACATACAGATCGAGCTGAAATTAACGCAGAACACATGCAATCGAGCACACATACAAGTTCGATCTAACCTGAGAAGCTCTGTATCGTTGGAGGAGATGCGATAATCAATTGTCCACAGGCGCAGGTAGACGGCGATGCCCAGGAGCATTACGAACCCTAAAGCTATCAGAATTTGGCGCCTCTTCATTTTCCCCATTGTTTTCACTTGCAAAAGGCTTTGAATTGCTTTTGCAGGGACGAATTTAATTAATGAATTTGTTTGTCTGTCTCTCATGTGGAGCCCAGTAGAGGAAAGTAAATAAAAAAAAATGCGGAAAAAAAGAAAGGGGAAAATGAAATAAAATGGAGGGAAGGGTTTATGTATAAAATTTAGAAGTATATTGATGCCATTTATAATAACCAATAATGCTAAGGAGCCAACTGTTGTTATAATAACTTTGTGAGATCAAAGGAAAAATGCTATTTTCTACTTAAATATATATTTTTTTTTTTTTATGATACTAGTGCGTTACTCGTGCGATCGACGGGTTATTTTCAAGTAAGCATTATATTTAAATGATTGGAAAATGTAAAAACCATGTATAACAAAATGTAATTTATATATTATTAAAAAAACAATGTAATTAAATTGAAAATAAACACTTGACACATATATATATATATATATATATTAAGATTATATGTAAATAAATCAATTAAATTATCTATAGGCTATAGCCTTATTATTTTAAAATTATAAATTAGTTAATTTAACAAAAAAAATTATGTACGTGTATGCAATCAATTACAAATTTATATTTTATAGCATTAAACAAAACCCAAATTATTTTTAGGTTTCTTTCAAAAACTATACAACATTTTTCTTTTTTTTTTTGTTTATTAATAACTACACAACAAATTTTGTTGTTGCATAACATGATGGGCCCACCATCTGTGATTGAAATCAATACTATACTATGCTAAAACAGTGCAACAGAAAAAATCATATATTGCTGTTTGCATAAAAATGGAATTATCGTCGAAAATCGTGTGCTCGCTCACTTCCAGCTTTGCCTGAGATTAAGCAGCAGTGAGTTGCGACGAAGAGGAAGAACAATGGCGTTTTTTTTTTCTATTTTTTTTTTAATTATTTTTTCACTACAATGTGAAATTCACTAATACCCAATAGCGCTTGGAAGAGATGACTTGGGTCTCTTCCAGTTTAACTAGTGGTCTCGTGTTCGAGCCTGAGAATGCAGCAATGTTAAAACTCTTGAGGGAGAGCTTTGCCGCCCTTGTGGTCCTACCCGGCTCGATTCCGATTAGTCGGTTCCCCTGTGAATTCGGAAACCGAAAGGTCAGTGTAAAAAAAATTCACTAATTATTATCTTCACCAAAAAAAGTAGCGAGGACAAAAAAAATTCCGTTTACGGAAAAAGCTTGTGGAGTACGCAGAAAAAGCGAGGTTTGTGTGTGTGTGTGTGTGCTTCAGCTTCAGGGGTTTTTGTCTCTTTCTAACCTTTCCATTTTGCCTTTTTCAATCTCTCTAGGTTTCATTTTTCATCAGTAATGGTATGGCCCTATGTGCCGCCTCAAAAACAAAGAAATTGAACGGCCACGGATACAAACAGTGGCTAAAATCTCAGGGGATCAAAGCTATGAACAATGCGGTAGGTTATCTTCTTTCTGATTTTAAGTTATTCAGTTAAGTTCTTCGTTATCTCATGAACTTCATTCTCGATTTCTCAGCATTTTAATCATTTCTTGTTCAGATAATAGAGGTGTTCTTATTTACGGAACCATTCCGTCGGGGTTTGTAACCGTTAGATCATCGTGTAACCGTCAGAGATAGTTGATCTAACGGTTACAAACCCGACGAAATGGTTCCGTAACGGGACTGTAGTATCTTCCGTTCTTATTCATGTACTGTTTTTTTTGTTTTTTTTTTTCTGTTTCTTTTGTTCTGTTATATAGCCTAATTGCTTATCACTTTCATGTGGGTTGATAGATTTTAATCTCCATTCGTTATCTTTGCCTTTGTCTCAGAAGATTACTCTTTTGAGATACTTCTCCTGAAACGTCTTTTGTTTAATGTTTCTATTGAGTATTGACAATCCTTGATATGATGAACTAACAGGAGGAGAACAGTGAGAAACAGGGAAGCCCATGTAACATGGATAAATCAGAGGTGAAAACGGAGCCTGAAAGTGAAAATTGCAATCCTCATGTGTCCAAGTCTACCAAACAGAATTTTGTGGAGTATTGGGTTCCTGTCAGCCTCTCCGAGATGCAAACCGAGATGTATTGTGGCGCTTTATTTTCGAATGAAGTTATATTAACCTCTCATTCGAAGAATGAGTCTAGGGGAGCAGCCCTCAATGACATGCTTGTCGGGGCCAGAAAGGTTTGGCTTTGCTCGAAAAGTTCAAATTTCCATTTAGCTCCGGTGTAAATTGTTCTGCTTCAGTGTCTTTTTATAATTTGCAATAATGTTAATAATTTCTTTTCTTTTGGTCAGTGTTGTGATCATCCTTATCTTGTGGACGGATCATTGAGCACCTCCTTTATGGGAGCTGTAGCCAAGCCTGAACTAATGGATGCCGAGATAAAACTGAGTAACAAATTGCTGCTTCTTCATAAGATTCTTTTGGAGATTCGAAAACGAGGGCTGCGAGTACTTATCCTTTATCAGGTAGTAGTTAGAACACTATCTGTAATGAAATAATTTGGAACTTATTACTGCTGTGAGACCTTTATTTACAGTTTAATATGCTGAAAATGATTTTGCTTTTTTCTTCACTTGTGTATTTGATAGAGACTTATATAATCTTGTTGTAAGTTCAATGCATGATCCTATACTTCTCTATCAATTTTTTTTTTTTTTTCAGTCGCATGGAGGCTCTGGATTGTTTTCTATTGGAGATCTTTTGGATGCGATTATTAATGGAAAGTTTGGCCCTGATCTGTATGAACACATTGGTGGCCGTGGAAGGGTACCTCCTTCCAGAAGACAAGCTTCCCTGAACACCTTTAACAATAAAGACAATGGGAAATTTGTTTGCTTGATGGAAACTGATTCTTGTACCCCAAGCATCAAGCTTGCATCTGTAGATACTGTTATTTTCTTTAACAGTGATTGGAACCCGGCGAATGACTTTAAGGCACTGCAGAAGATCGATCTCGATTCACAGTTGGAGCACGTGAAGGTTTTTCGCCTGTATTCATCTCACACAATGGAAGAAAAATTACTAATTTTAGCCAAACAAGGGATGGCTCCAGAAGGCATTGTTATGGATATCAGTCAACGCATGTGTCATCAGCTGCTCACTTGGGGTGCCTCACAATTATTCAAAAAGCTCGATGAGTTCCATAACGAGCTTAGTGCTTGTGAGGACCCGTTTGGAGACGTATTGCTTGAGCTATCGAGTTTATTGCCTCATGACAAGAAAAGCAACATCTGTGGGATCAGAACCTCGTTAATTGTGGAGGTAAGACAGATAGACGGTATATATCCCGGGAATATATGTTTAGTTGGTGAATCGGAAAATCTTGAGGAGATGATACCGAAAAAGTTTCATCTTTTCTGGAAAACGCTACTTAAAGGGAGAAACCCAAAGTGGAAATATTTTTCTAGCCAATCACGTCGAACTTCGAAAGCAGTGAAAATGTTTTATGATGTACTTGAAGAATCTGCTCGGAAAGAACCAGCTCCCAGAAAACGCAGGAAAAACGAAGCACCTGATCAGACAAAACCAGCTCCCAGAAAACGCAGGAGAAAGGGTAGAAACACTTTGTACCAATTCCCAGCAATAATCAAGAGGAAAATTAGGACTAAGCTTCGAAATCGAGGTAAAGTGCAAAAAGCTTTCAGGTTTGAAATATGTTTTTGTTTCGTGAACAAGGATCACCACTTTTATGAAATGAAAGTTGCTAATATGCTGGTATGTGCAAGGAAATCGATCTATTGTGGCGTGGGTTTTTTCTTTCTCTCACTCTTTTTTTGTTTTTT